TTGTAGGAATTTGTCCATCTCCTCTAGATTGTTGAACTTGTTTCCATATAACTGTTCATAGTAGTTACTGATTATTCTTTTGATTTCTGCTGTGTCCGTTGTGATTTCTCCTCTTTCATTTATGATTCTGTGTATTTGTGCTTTCTCCTTTTTTCCTTTGTGAGCCTGGCTAGGGGTTTGTCTATTTTATTGATTTTTTCAAAGAACCAGCTCTTGGTTTCATTGATCTTTTGGATTGTTTTTTAGTTTCAATTTCATTTATTTCTGCTTTGGTTTTTATTATTTCTTTTCTTCTACTGGTTCTGGGGTTTTTGTTGTTCTTTTTCTAGATCTTTGAGCTTCGAGATTAGGTGTTTCTTTGAGTTCTTTCTTGTTTTTTGATGTGAGCTTCTATTGCTATATATTTTCCTCTTATTACTGCTTTTGCTGCATCCCATACATTTAGGATATTGGTGTCCTCCTTGTCATTCAATTCAAAGAATTTTTTAATTTCTTCTTTGATCTCCTCGTTAGTCCAGTGGTCTTCCAGTAGTGTGGCTTTTAATCTCCATGAGGTAGGATAGTTCCTTGCCTTCTTTTTATGATTTATTTCTAGTTTGATGCCTTCGTGGTCAGAAAAGATGGTTGGTATGATTTCAATCTTGGTGTATCTGTTGATGTTTGTCTTGTGCCCCAGTATGTGATCGATCCTGGAGAATGATCCGTGTGCGCTTGAGAAAAATGTGTACTCCGTTTTTTTTGGGTTTAGTGTTCTATAGATGTCTGTTAAGCCCAAATGCTCTAGGTCCTTATTTAGAGCTTTAGTTTCTTTACTTATTTTTTGTCTTGTTGATCTATCCATTGTTGATAGTGGTGTGTTGAAGTCTCCCACTACATATGTGTTTTCTCTGATGTCTGTTTTCAGAGAGGACAACAGTTGTCTGATATATTTTGGTGCTCTTTCGTTTGGTGAGTATATGTTAATGAGTGTTATTTCTTCTTGAAGTATTGTCCCCTTAATCATAATGTAGTGACCATTGGGGTCTCTTTTTATTTTTTTGAGTTTGAAGTCTGTTTTATCTGATATAAGTATAGCTGTTCCTGCTTTCTTTTTTGGCCCATTTGCTTGTAGGATTGTTTTCCATCCTTTGACTTTGAGCCTATTTTTATCTTTTGTAGCTAAATGTGTTTCCTGGAGACAGCAAAAGGTTGGGTTTTGTTTCTTAATCCAGGCTGCAACTCTGTGTCTTTTTATTGAAGAGTTTAGTCCATTTACATTTAGAGTTAATATTGATATGTTAGCATCTGTATTTGCCATTATGTTTGTCTTTCCTTTGATTTTATTTATTTATTCTTTTAATAACTTTTTTTTTTTTTTTTTGGTCTTCTTTCGTTGTTATTCGTCCCTCTGAGGTTCTGGCTTTAGGATTCCTTGTAGTATTTTTGGAGTGGGGGTTTAGTCGCAATGAAATTCCGGAGTTTCTCTTTGTCTGGGAAGGTCCATATTCTTTCTTCATGGAGGAAAGAGAGCTTTGCGGGATAGAGTATTCTTGGTTGGCATCTGTTTTCTTGGAGTCTGTTGACTATGTCCCTCCACTCTCTCCTTGCCCGTAGTGTTTCTTCAGAGAAGTCTGATGTCAGCCTGATTGGTTTTCCTTTGAATGTTATCTGTTTCTTCCCTCTTGTCAGCTTCATTATTTTTTCCTTGTCCTGGATTCTTGGGAGCTTTACTATTATGTGTCTTGCTGTGTTTTTCCTTTCGTCGTGGAAGTTTGGTGTTCTTCTTGCTTCTTGTATATCAATTTTCAGCTCCTTCTTCTCATTTGGGAAGTTCTCTTCAATTATATCCATGAATATTTTCTCTGTTCCTACATCTCTCTCCTCTCCTTCTGGAATTCCTATAACTCTTATATTTCCTTTCCTCATGGAGTCAGATAGTTCCCGAAGTCTTTCTTCATTCTTTTTCCTTCGTACTTCTCTTTCCTTTTCTGTTTTGGTTCTTTTTATTTCTGTGTCTTCAAGATTACTTATTCGTTCTTCCATTTCATCTATTCTGCTTTCATTGCTTTTCCCAGAGTTCTTTAGTTCCTCCATTAATTCTTTGATCTCCTGCATTTCTCTTACTTCCCTCTTTAGGGACTCAATTTCCTTCTTCTGATCTATCACTTTTTTAATCATGGCAATTTTAAATTCTCTTTCTGGAAGGCTCAGAAGTTCTTCCAAGTTGCTGTCGTTGCAATCTGGGGAGTGGTTTTCTTTTTGTGGTGTGCTTCTTTCCTGAGGAGTTTTTAGGTTGCGTGTGGTTCTTCTACTCCCTACTGTCTGTTTTCTAATTTGTCGTATGCGTTGGGACACTGTGTTGCTCGGACTGACTGACATCTTGGGTGAACTTCTCCGCTCCCCTCTGGCTCTTCCAGGAGCCATCTCTGTCTTCTGGGGGAGCTTTCTGCTGGTTTTAGGCAGTTTTTACTGAAGAAATGTCCCTGTTCTCAAATGGCGAAGCGGGATGCAGTCCCTGCGCCTCCGGTTTCAGGCACACTCTTCTGCGCACCCGGTCTGCCCCGGACGTGGGTGCCTGCTCCCTCTGTGGGCTCAGACTGCTGGTCGGAAGGGGCCTGGCGTGGAATAACTTCCCGGCTGGCCACTGGGTCCTCCAGAAACCTTCTGCCCTTTTCAAGCAGTCTTAAGAAATGTCCTGTTTTATAGGGTGTTAGTGACTTTTTTTTTCCTGGTCGCTAGGTGGCGCCAGAGATCTCTCCTATTGGCCTTGGGGGGCTGTTTTTCGCCTCCCCCCACCCCGTGGGACAGAGAACAGAGCGGGAATGGTAGGGTACACTTCAACAGCTTTGGGGTGCTGTGTCTGCCTTGTGCCCCACCGTCGTGGAGAAACCACGCCCCGAATTTTCGTGCCCCGGGTCTCAGTTCAAAGCCCTCAGTTCCAGGACGCGGGCTGTAGCCCAGTTCAGTGGCGCGGGAATGGCGCCTTTTGCACAGCTCCCGTGCCTGGGCGCCTGGTTCCTGCTCACTCAGGGAGGGACCTTCACCTCAGTGAGGACCTCCGCGCGTCTCCCCGCAAGCCTAGGTCGCAGGCGCGGGGACCTGGGCAGCCGCGATCCAGGTCTGCACTTGCTTTTCAAGCTCCCCGAGCGCGCCGCGTTTCCGCGCCAGCTTACCGGCAGCCCGGGCTGTGTGCGCGTCTCCCGGGGTCTTTGTTCTTCTCTAATGGCGCCCGGAGCCGTTCGCTCACCGCCCGCGGCGGATCCTGCAGGGTTCGCCTCAGCTCCCGTTCACGGGGTGTGGTGGCTGCAATAGTTCCTTTCCACTCACAGTCCCGCTTGCTGCGTCGTTTGTTCTTGTTGGTTGTTTTGGTTTGTTGTTTCCTCCTCTCTGCCGGTCGGAGAGTGCCGCCTCTGTGGGCGGGGGAGGGGAGCAGGGTTCTGCGCTTCTCTCCCTTCTAGTCCTCTTTTATGGCCACTTTCTTCTTCGGGCAGTTCGCTGGCGTCACCCGTTTATCTTCCGTGTCCCAGTTCTCACTGGGACCTGCCGCTTTTCCTCCCTATTCACTTTTTTTAATGGGAGATCTTACTCGCAGCGTCTCCTCGCCGCCATGTTGCTCCGCCCCCTCTCTATTTTAGCTTTTGTATGTCCTCAATTACAACAGAAAGTAGCCATTGACAATATAAATACCCTTCTCACAAATTCTCTTTTACCAAACCAAAGTCACTTCACTTTTCACTAACCAAAAGTGATCTGAAGAGGATTTTTGCAACCATCACAATAGACAAATAGTGAAACTAGCACTCAGTGTTGGTCTTTTAGAGAGCTGTTATAGAGACAGAGCAACTCCAGCAAGCTGCCTGAGGGCACTGCCCATGTCCTGCCCCTGGAGCTAGTTCAGTATTTCATCATCGACCTGTCAAAGCTTTAAACTGTGTCTGTAAAGGTGTGTGCTTCATCTTGATCATTGTACGTTCCTTAGCAGGATGTGTCCTAAGGTATCAGCAAAGCCTAAGATGAAAGAATGCACAAGGCTAAGCAGTCACACACACTGCAATTTCACCTTTTCTGCATTAGCCACATGAGCCACAACAGAAGGTGAGCCTTGGTTTGGGATATTGAGATTTGCAGACACAGAAGGAGGTGTGGCCTTACCTGTTCTAATGAATTCAAGTAACAATGTGTTACTTTCGGGTGACCATCTTCCTCTCAGTCCTGCAGGTCAAGCTTCTGCATATCCCACATCAACCTCTGAATACTTAACCTAAAACACCCCATTACCTCTCAGTCTTCCAGGATGCTCAATGTCTTCTCGGTTCTGATAAGTGAAACTTACTACTCAACCCTGCTTTTTATGGGTAGTGTATTTATTGCATTACTGCTTTTATGCTAGGTAGTAGTATTTTAACTTTCATGTGTTATTCACATGAGTTTGTAGGTTATTTTTTGGATCTGGGGATACTCAAATTTTTTTCCATATAAATTCATGGCAATTGTCTCTGGTTTTATGCCATTTTGACTTAGCAAAGTCTTCATAGACATACTTTGCATTTAACTAGCAGGAGAAACTTGTATTTTAATGAACGGACAAAGCTTTATTCCAGTAAAGACTTATTTAGAAAGACAGTGGGCAGGCTGCCTTAATCATCGTTTGCCATGACCACAGAACACAAGTCTCTGGATGAGTGCATTGCTCACGCTTGAATCTAATTCAGTGGACATACATGTCCATTCTATGTCACACTCTTTGGCTAATTACATTATGAAACCTGAGAAGGGAAATAAAGTTAATTTGACCACTGCACGGGAAAGGGTGAAAGAAAAAACCTTGTTCTTAGAACAGGGTACATATGTTTAAAATTTATTTTATTAATTCAGATATTTAATAATTATTTTTAGTAATAATACCCTACTAAGGAAGATTGACAACTATAAAAATAAGAAAAGCATTATTAGTAAACTAAGAAATGATAGTTTCTCAAGTTTTATCCTCTATAAATCTGCCAATTGTAAGTTCCCTTTACCTTGCTTAAGCTTAAGTGAATTCTTCAGGTACTCATCTGGTGTGATGAGTTGTCCATCTGCTTCCAAGTCCAGGGAGAAATCCCTCAGGGTCCACACAAAGTCTGGAAAAAAGCTCACAAAGTCAGCCGAATCCTCAACCTCGTTGGCATCAGGTGAGGATTTCGCCTTGATCCGATCTGTCAGTTCTGTCACATAGCTGAGCAGCAAACTAAGGGAAATTGGCGAACAAGAACAGTTCCCACATCCCATATTAGCACCACAGATTGTAGAACTTTCCTTTCCCATTCTTCTTAGCTCAAGTGTGAATTCTCAGTGGGTACATAGACTCTTCTCCCCTGTCCTCAAAGTATTTTTTAAAAAGATTTATTTATTTATGCATACAAGAACTGGGGTACAGGTCAGAGGTACGGGGTTTGAGAGGATTCGCCAGAGACAGAATGGGGAGCAAAAGAGGCAGATCCACTGAAATACACTGCTGAGGGGAGCAGTGGGCGAGGCAGGAGAGGTCTGCTGCACTATGTGGGTCAGCTCCCTGGCCAGCCAGGGATCAAACTTGTGCTGCAGTGGCTGGTAAGCCTGACAGTGCTGTGCTACTGGGGAGGCCTTCAAAGTACTTTTTGATTTCTCTTTTGTGCTTGATTCACCAGGGTTCACATTTAGGAAGCTGTTTTTTAGTACAAATCTCCCCCCCTTTGATGTGTTAGGATGGCAAAGGATACTACAGTTGGTCCATGGCCTGCTGATTGATGGTGCCCATGCTATTGTACACAAAGGTGCTGCTCAGGAGGATTGCCAGGGCGAAGATCCAGGAGTCATTCTGGTTGTCACCCTGGAAATGAGAGCACATTGGGGCAGGATTCGGTTTCATTCTCAGGGTGCTTTCTAGATCAGCAGCGGCAAAAGTATGCTCATTCCACTGGAGGTGTTTTATATTATTTTTTTAAGATTAAAGACCACTTTCAAACAAATATTCTTGTTGGCAAATGTGTATTTTGAATAGTTTTCTGCTAAATATTTTTGGGTTTACACTGATTCTCACAAGGTCCTATTATGGCCACTGGAAGATAATTGCAAAAGAAGTTGTCAGGGTTAGTGACCATTCTAAGGCCTTCGATAGCAAGAATTTTTCTTTCTTTTGTAGTAAAATTGACACATACAAGAATAATAATACTTATAGATATTTATTTAGCAATTATTTTGTACCTGTATTTTGTATTATTTATTTTTAAAGAATTATTTATTCATGCATACAAGAACTGGGGTACAGGCCAGAGTTGTGGGGGGTGAGAGATTTCACCAGAGACAGAGTGGCGAACAGAACAGGTGGATTGACTGAAATACACTGCTGAGGGGAGCAGCAGGCTACTCAGGAGAGGTCTGCTGCATCAGGTGAGTGGATTCCTGAGCAGTGATTGAACTCGTGTGCAGTGGCTGCAACTAGCTTCATAGGTCTCGTCTTAACCCCTTGTGCAGGGAGGCCTTGTATTTTGTATTTTGTTTCCCTTACTACTTGAGGCACATTTAGACAGGTTAATTCTGCATTACAAATCAGGTAAATATAGAACTATTACACCTGTTGAAACAACTATGAAAAAAATACAGATCTAGTAGGCCTGTTTTCCAAATGGAAACTGATGTTAAAACAAGTCCAATAATTTTCTCAAACTATCAAGTTAGTGATATTGTTTAAATTGAAGTAGTAGGATTTGGGACCAAAACCCTTAACTAAAGTTCTCTGCTGTTTAAACCTCATGAAGCTGATTTTATTTCTACTGTGTGCGTGCAACTGTGTTATCTGGTATTGTTTTAATTAGAATATAGTATACTGACTATGCTTTCCTAGTATTCTCCCTTATATTTTCCTGTCCTGTGGTTGCTAAACTTGTTCTCATGACATGTGAAGAGAAAGACAAACAATATTATGGTTGATTGTATGTTCTTATTTATGGAAAATGAAATATGGCAGAGACTATTGAGAGGTGAGGGGCTTGTTTCCAAGTTGAGTCCTCAACACTTACCTTCTCCACATCGCCTAAGCCCTCAGTGTCCAGAAGAACCAGGGTGTGGTCTGGCTTCTTGGGATGAGGCACACACCACATCCAGATTCCTTTGGTGTGAGATTGCACTGTGGAACCCAGGGAGAAGCCTTCAGGGGAGGATTGAGGTAAAAGAAAAAAAAAGGGTGGCGTTTTAATGGGAGTGGGATCTGGAAATTAAGGGTTAGGAGAGAAAACTGCTATCAACCAGTAGTATCACAGAAATGGGGAAAATAGAATACATGAAACAATTTCACATGTTTTTATGACAGAAACCATCAACCAAAAACATAAAAGGAAATTACTTCAACATAGTAAAAGCTAAAAATAGAAAAACCTATAGCTTGCCTCCCTAGCAGTGCAGTGGGTTGAGCACAGTGCTTTGAAGCTGTCTGCAGTCTCTGCAGCACCAGTTCGATTCCCTGGCCGACCAGGGAGATTCCCACATAGCGCAGCAGACCTCTCCTGTCTCGCCGGCTGCTCCACTTGCCTTTTCTGCTCCTATCTCTGACTACAGTGAATTCACTCACCCTTCCACTCCTCTGGTCTGAACCCCAGCTCTTGTATAAATAAAATTACAAAAAATCTTTAAAAATGAAAAGAAAAACCTACAGCCAACAGCACACTCAAAGTGAAAGACAGAAAAAATTCCTGCAATAAAAATGTACACAAATGTATCAAAGACATACATGTGAGAGTAAAAGTTGAAGAACTAGTAGTAGAAAACACAGGAGCTCTGCTCCAGGATATTGGATATGGCAGTGATTGCTTGTTATATGACACCAAAAGAATAAGCAACAAAAGAAAATTTAGACAAGTTCAGCCACATCAAAATTAAAACTTTGATGCATTAAAGGATATTACTGGAGCCTCCGTGGTGGCCTAGAGGTTAAGCCTCAGCCCTATCACCACTAAGGCCTGAGTTTGATCGCTGGCCAAGGAGCTAACCCACACATGGCACAGCAGACCTCTCTTGTCTCACCTGCTGCTCCCCTTAGCAGTATGTTTCAGTTAATCTACCTTTCTGCTCCCCACTCTGTCTCTGGTGAATCTGCTCACCCTTGTATTTCCAGCCTACACTCCAGTTCTTCTAAGCAAAAAATAAATAAATAAATAAACAAATAAATAAATAAATCATGCTTATTACCAACAGAGTGAAAAAAATGAGAAAATATTTGCTAGTCATGAATATGATAAAGGGTTGATATCCAACAGACATAAAAAGCAAACCAGTAAATAATTAAAGAACATACTTGAGCAGATAATTCTCTAGAGAAAATATGCAAGTAAGCAATAACAAGTGCTCAATGTCACCAAATATTAGGAAATACAAATCAAAACTACAGTGACATACTACTTACTATTTATCAGTATGACCAATATAAAAAACAAGCAGAGATTAACAATTATTGGTGAATATGTACAGAAATTGGAACCCTTATGCATTTCTGGTGGGGATATAAAATGGAACAATTGTTATAAAAAGTGATATGTTGATTTTTTTTTTTTTAACTTAAAAATCTTCTGACTAGGTACAGTCAGAAGCGCGGGAGGGTGAGAGAATTCACCAGAGTCAGAGCGGAGAGCAGAACAGACAGACTGATGAAATATACTGCTGAGGGGAGCAGCAGGCATGGCAGGAGAGGTCTGCGCGCCTTGTGGGACCCTCGCTGGGGGCCGGGGATTGAACCAGTGCTGCAGAAGCCGCAGGCAGCTTCACAGCCCAGCGCTCAACCTCTGCACCACCAGGGAGGCCCGTGATATGTTGATTTTTTAAATAAATTAAATATTAAGTTGCCATATGATCCAGCCATTCCATTTTTTAGGTATTTATCCAAAAGAAGTGCAAGTAGGAACTCGGACAGATATTTGTACACCTGATTTCTTAGTAATATAATTTTAATAGCCAAAAGGTGGAAAGAACCCAATTGTCTACTTGCAGATAAAATGTTGCTATGCATATGTAACAATTAACCTTAAAAAGGGATATAATTTTGACACATTTTACCACAGTGATGTAACGTAGATGTTATGCTGTGAAATAAGCCAATTACATATGACCAGAAAAAAAATATGATTCCTATTATAAGAGACCCAGAGCAGTCATTTTCATAGAAACATGGTGTTGAAAGGTGGTTGCTAAGCTTGGGGGAGTTATTGTTTAATGGGGAGGGGAGTTACTGTTTAATGGGCACAGAGTTTCTGTTGGAAAAGAGGAAAACTTATGAAGATGAATGTGAATTTACCTAGTGCCACACAAATGTACACTTAAAAAGAGTTGCAATGGTAAATTTTTTTTGTTAAGTACATTTTAAAACAGTAAATAAAAAAGAATATCCTTTTCAGATTTAAACAAGATTTTAAAGATCAGTGGAAAATTGTTCTTACTACATGAACATTTCAGCAAATGTCTTATTCTTCATCACTAAGTTTATTGTTTGTATTGCTGCCTTAGTCTAGCTCAGAAAGGAACAATTTATGCTTTTAAAAGGGGAAACTAAGTTCAAGTGGAAGAAAGATGAGCTGACTTTATATCACATTGAAGATAAAGATAAAAACATAACTATGGATCAAAATTTATCTACCATCTTCCCCATCTCTCACATCTGTCCTCACAGCACTACTGAATGCTGGTAGTATAGGTGGACAGAGGGGACTTGACAGAGTGCTGCTGGTGTCACTCACCCTTCTTCTTGTCAGCCAGCTTGTTCATCAGGTAGGATTTGCCTGTGCGGTAGAGACCCACAATAGCCACCACAACCACAGGCTGCGTAATGGCAGACAGGATCTCCAGAGCTTTTGGATTGACCATCAGTTGGTTTTGAGTGTTCTCTACGAGGCATGCTGGGTTTGGCATGTGCATCTCTGAGGTCATGTTCAGGATGTTCCCTTGTCTGTAAGGGAAGAGATGTGATGAATTAAATTTTCAGTCTAAGTAGATCAAGAACTTGCACCAGGTTATTTGCATTCAGAAGATGGGGGCTTAAAATTCTCCAACGTCATCAAAAGTTTTGTGTCAATTGTGAGACAGATGAGGGGAGGATCTGTACCATTTTAAAAAGTTATGGAAGCGGGCCTCCCTGGTGGCACAGGCAGTTGAGCACAATGCTGTGAAGCTGTGCACAGTCTCTGCACGCTGGTTTTATCCCAGCCAGCTGGGAAGATGCCCACATGGCACGGCAGACCTCTCCTGTCTTGCCTGCTGCTCCCCTCTCAGTGAATTTCGGTCAGTTTGCCTGTTCTGTTCCTCACTCTGTCTCTGGTGAATCCTCTCACCCTCCTGCACATTTGGCCTATGCCCCAGTTCTTGTATGCATGAATAAATAAATCTTAAAAAAACATTATGGAAGCATTTTAACAGTAGTCCATTGGAAAATATATTGTATGACAGGGACTTACCAACATTTAACCTCTTTCATGCACAAAGTCTTTAAATTACCATGGAAAACTCTTGAGTTAAAGTCTCATTAAAGCGGAGGGGGCGGAGCAACATGGCGGCGAGGAGAAGCTGCGAGTAAGATCTCCCACTAAAAAAAGTGAATAGGGAGGAAAAGCGGCAGGTCCCAGTGAGAACTGGGACACGGAAGATAAACGGGTGACGCCAGCGAACTGCCCGAAGAAGAAAGTGGCCATAAAAGAGGACTAGAAGGGAGGGAAGCGCAGAACCCTGCTCCCCTCCCCCGCCCACAGAGGCAGCACTCTCCGACCCGCAGAGAGGAGGAAACAACAAACCAAAACGGCCCACAAGAACAAACGACGCAGCAAGCGGGACTGTGAGCGGAAAGGAACTATTGCAGCCACCACACCCCGTGAACGGGAGCTGAGGCGAACCCTGCAGGATCCGCCGCAGCGGTGAGCGAACGGCTCCGGGCGCCATTAGAGAAGAACAAAGACCCCAGGAGACGCGCACACAGCCCGGGCTGCCGGTAAGCCTGCGCGGGAAAGCGGCTCGCTCGGCGTGCACTTGAAAAGTAAGTGCACACCTGGATCGCAGCTGCCCAGGTCCCCGTGCCTGCGACCTAGGCTTGCGGGGAGACGACCTAGGCTTGCGGGGAGACGCACGGAGGTCCTCACTGAGGTGAAGGTCCCTCCCTGAGTGAGCAGGAACCAGGCGCCCAGGCACGGGAGCTGTGCAAAAGGCGCCATTCCCGCGCCACTGAACTGGGCTACAGCCCGCGTCCTGGAACTGAGGGCTTTGAACTGAGACCCGGGGCACGAAAATTCGGGGCGTGGTTTCTCCACGACGGTGGGGCACAAGGCAGACACAGCACCCCAAAGCTGTTGAGGTGTACCCTATCATTCCCGCTCTGTTCGCTGTCCCACGGGGTGGGGGTAGGCGAAAAACAGCCCCCCAAGGCCAATAGGAGAGATCTCTGGCGCCACCTAGCGACCAGGAAAAAAAAAAGTCACTAACACCCTATAAAACAGGACATTTCTTAAGACTGCTTGAAAAGGGCAGAAGGTTTCTGGAGGACCCAGTGGCCAGCCGGGAAGTTATTCCACGCCAGGCCCCTTCCGACCAGCAGTCTGAGCCCACAGAGGGAGCAGGCACCCACGTCCGGGGCAGACCGGGTGCGCAGAAGAGTGTGCCTGAAACCGGAGGCGCAGGGACTGCATCCCGCTTCGCCATTTGAGAACAGGGACATTTCTTCAGTAAAAACTGCCTAAAACCAGCAGAAAGCTCCCCCAGAAGACAGAGATGGCTCCTGGAAGAGCCAGAGGGGAGCGGAGAAGTTCACCCAAGATGTCAGTCAGTCCGAGCAACACAGTGTCCCAACGCATACGACAAATTAGAAAACAGACAGTAGGGAGTAGAAGAACCACACGCAACCTAAAAACTCCTCAGGAAAGAAGCACACCACAAAAAGAAAACCACTCCCCAGATTGCAACGACAGCAACTTGGAAGAACTTCTGAGCCTTCCAGAAAGAGAATTTAAAATTGCCATGATTAAAAAAGTGATAGATCAGAAGAAGGAAATTGAGTCCCTAAAGAGGGAAGTAAGAGAAATGCAGGAGATCAAAGAATTAATGGAGGAACTAAAGAACTCTGGGAAAAGCAATGAAAGCAGAATAGATGAAATGGAAGAACGAATAAGTAATCTTGAAGACACAGAAATAAAAAGAACCAAAACAGAAAAGGAAAGAGAAGTACGAAGGAAAAAAGAAGAAAGACTTCGGGAACTATCTGACTCCATGAGGAAAGGAAATATAAGAGTTATAGGAATACCAGAAGGAGAGGAGAGAGAAGTAGGAACAGAGAAAATATTCATGGATATAATTGAAGAGAACTTCCCAAATGAGAAGAAGGAGCTGAAAATTGATATACAAGAAGCAAGAAGAAACACCAAACTTCCACGACGAAAGGAAAAACACAGCAAGACACATAATAGTAAAGCTCCCAAGAATCCAGGACAAGGAAAAAATAATGAAGCTGACAAGAGGGAAGAAACAGATAACATTCAAAGGAAAACCAATCAGGCTGACATCAGACTTCTCTGAAGAAACACTACGGGCAAGGAGAGAGTGGAGGGACATAGTCAACAGACTCCAAGAAAACAGATGCCAACCAAGAATACTCTATCCCGCAAAGCTCTCTTTCCTCCATGAAGAAAGAATATGGACCTTCCCAGACAAAGAGAAACTCCGGAATTTCATTGCGACTAAACCCCCACTCCAAAAAATACTACAAGGAATCCTAAAGCCAGAACCTCAGAGGGACGAATAACAACGAAAGAAGACCAAAAAAAAAAAAAAAAAGTTATTAAAAGAATAAATAAATAAAATCAAAGGAAAGACAAACATAATGGCAAATACAGATGCTAACATATCAATATTAACTCTAAATGTAAATGGACTAAACTCTTCAATAAAAAGACACAGAGTTGCAGCCTGGATTAAGAAACAAAACCCAACCTTTTGCTGTCTCCAGGAAACACATTTAGCTACAAAAGATAAAAATAGGCTCAAAGTCAAAGGATGGAAAACAATCCTACAAGCAAATGGGCCAAAAAAGAAAGCAGGAACAGCTATACTTATATCAGATAAAACAGACTTCAAACTCAAAAAAATAAAAAGAGACCCCAATGGTCACTACATTATGATTAAGGGGACAATACTTCAAGAAGAAATAACACTCATTAACATATACTCACCAAACGAAAGAGCACCAAAATATATCAGACAACTGTTGTCCTCTCTGAAAACAGACATCAGAGAAAACACATATGTAGTGGGAGACTTCAACACACCCACTATCAACAATGGATAGATCAACAAGACAAAAAATAAGTAAAGAAACTAAAGCTCTAAATAAGGACCTAGAGCATTTGGGCTTAACAGACATCTATAGAACACTAAACCCAAAAAAAACGGAGTACACATTTTTCTCAAGCGCACACGGATCATTCTCCAGGATCGATCACATACTGGGGCACAAGACAAACATCAACAGATACACCAAGATTGAAATCATACCAACCATCTTTTCTGACCACGAAGGCATCAAACTAGAAATAAATCATAAAAAGAAGGCAAGGAACTATCCTACCTCATGGAGATTAAAAGCCACACTACTGGAAGACCACTGGACTAACGAGGAGATCAAAGAAGAAATTAAAAAATTCTTTGAATTGAATGACAAGGAGGACACCAATATCCTAAATGTATGGGATGCAGCAAAAGCAGTAATAAGAGGAAAATATATAGCAATAGAAGCTCACATCAAAAAACAAGAAAGAACTCAAAGAAACAACCTAATCTCGAAGCTCAAAGATCTAGAAAAAGAACAACAAAAAAACCCCAGAACCAGTAGAAGAAAAGAAATAATAAAAACCAAAGCAGAAATAAATGAAATTGAAACTAAAAAAACAATCCAAAAGATCAATGAAACCAAGAGCTGGTTCTTTGAAAAAATCAATAAAATAGACAAACCCCTAGCCAGGCTCACAAAGGAAAAAAGGGAGAAAGCACAAATACACAGAATCATAAATGAAAGAGGAGAAATCACAACGGACACAGCAGAAATCAAAAGAATAATCAGTAACTACTATGAACAGTTATATGGAAACAAGTTCAACAATCTAGAGGAGATGGACAAATTCCTACAACTCTACAATCACCCAAAGCTAGATAAAGAAGAAATAGAACACCTAAACAGACCAATTACAAGCAGCGAAATTGAAATGGTAATTAAAAACCTCCCCAAAAACAAAAGCCCAGGACCTGATGGATTTACAAATGAATTCTACCAAACATTCAGAGACGAATTAGTGCCTATCCTTCACAAACTCTTCCAAAAAATTGAGAAGGAAGGGACAATACCAAACACGTTCTATGAAGCCAATATTACACTAATACCAAAACCGAATAAGGACAACACAAAAAAGGAAAACTATAGGCCAATCTCCCTAATGAACACTGATGCAAAAATCCTCAATAAAATTTTAGCTATCAGAATCCAACAATGTATCCATAAGATAATTCACCACGACCAAGTTGGATTCATTCCAGGGGCACAAGGATGGTTTAACATCCGAAAATCAATCAACGTTATCCAACACATCAACAAAAAGAAATATAAAAACCATATGATAATATCAATAGATGCTGAGAAAGCTTTCGACAAAGTGCAACACCCATTCATGATAAAAGCCCTTGAAATTCTTGGGATACAAGGAACATACCTCAACATCATAAAAGCCATCTATGACAAGCCAACAGCCAGTATCATTCTCAATGGTGAAAAGCTGAAAGCAATTCCATTAAGATCTGGAACAAGACAAGGATGTCCACTCTCACCACTGCTTTTCAATATAATATTGGAAGTCCTAGCCAGAGCAATAAGACAAGAGAAAGACATCCAAGGCATCCAAATAGGAAAAGAAGAAGTCAAACTATCACTATTTGCAGATGATATGATAATATACATAGAGAACCCCAAAATCTCCACAGAAAAACTAATTCAACTCATCAATCAATTCAGTAAAGTGGCAGGATACAAAATCAACACGCAAAAGTCAGTAGCCTTCCTATACACAAACAATAAATCTGAAGAAGAAGAAATCAAAAAAACCACCCCTTTTATTATCGAAACAAAAAAAATCAAATATTTGGGAATAAATCTAACAAAAGAGGTAAAGGACCTATACAAAGAAAACTATAAAACACTGTTAAAAGAAATAGAAGAAGACACAAAGAAATGGAAAGACAGCCCCTGCTCATGGATTGGAAGAATAAACATTATTAAAATGGCCATCCTACCAAAAGCAATATACAGATTCAATGCTATTCCAATCAAAATCTCAATGGCATTCTTCAAAGAAATAGAACAATTATTGATGAAATTCATATGGAATCACCAAAAACCCCGAATAGCCAAAGCTCTACTGAAAAAAAAAGAAGGAAATGGAGGCATCACACTCCCAGACTTCAAACTATACTACAAAGCCATAATCATCAAAACTGCATGGTATTGGAACAAGAACAGACATACAGACCAATGGAATCGAATAGAAAATCCAGAAATAAACCCACAGATTTATGGTCAACTAATCTTTGACAAAGGAGCAAAGACTATGCATTGGAGCAAAGAAAGTTTGTTCAATAGATGGTGCTGGGAAAACTGGGTCGCTACATGCAAAAGAATGAAGCTTGACCACTACCTCACACCATACACAAAAATCAACTCAAAATGGATTAAAGAACTAGACATAAGACCTGAAACCATAAAATACATAGAAGGAAATATAGGCGAAACACTACGGGATTTGCACATCAAAGACATCTTTACAGACACATCACCCAAAGCAGTGATAGTGAAGAGAAAGATAAACAGCTGGGACTACATCAAATTAAAGAGCTTCTGCACAGCAAAAGAGACAATAACAAAAACAAAGAGAAACCCCACCAACTGGGAGAACATTTTTGCACCCAACACTAATGATAAAGGACTGATCACAAAAATCTGCAAAGAGCTGATGAGACTCAGCAACAACAAAGAAAATAATCCAGTCAAAAAATGGGCAGAAGAGCTAAAAAGAAACTTCTCTGAAGAGGAAATGCAAATGGCCAACAGACATATGAAAAAATGTTCAACATCACTTGTCATCAGGGAAATGCAAATCAAAACTACCATGAGATACCATCTCACACCAGTGAGAATGGCACATATTAAAAAAACTAGCAACAACAAATGTTGGCGAGGGTGTGGAGAAAAAGGAACTCTTGTGCACTGTTGGTGGGAGTGCAAACTGGTCCAACCACTATGGAGAGCTGTGTGGAGATTTCTGGACCTACTAAACATAGAGCTTCCATATGATCCAGCAATTCCACTCCTAGGTATTTACCCAAAGGACACAGAAACATCAATTCCAAAGAGCACCTGCACTCCTATGTTTATAGCAGCACAGTTTACAATAGCTAAGCTTTGGAAACAACCCAAATGCCCAAAAATAGATGACTGGATCAAGAAGATGTGGTACATATATACCATGGAATATTACTCAGCATTCAAAAAAGATAAACACATGCAATTTGCAGCAACATGGATGGCACTGGAAGGGATCATGCTCAGCGAAATAAGCCAAAAAGAAAAAGAAAAATACCGGATGGTCTCACTCATAGCAGGAATCTAGAAAACTTAAATAAGGGACCAGGAAAATGAATATAAGAAAGTGAAAATCAAAATCAACAAAAAACTATGAACCAGAGACACTTTTTGGGGGTGGGGGGCGGGAGGGGAAGGATTGGGGTCAGAATGGGGCGTTTGCAATTGTATGGGGGAATATAAAAATAAAATTTAATATTTTAAAAAAAAAAAAAAAAAAAAAAAAAAAAGTCTCATTAAAGCATTTACACTAGACATTAAACAAAAATCATATTCTTAGGAAAGATTTATTTCACTTTTCAATCTATAAGAAATTCTTCTTTTCTCCAAAATTTATAATCATTTTGCCAAAATGAGATTCCATACTTCTCATCTGTATTCCAGATTTGCAACTAACGTTTTTTGTGTGTGAATTTTATAAAACTATATGAACATGTGAAACACATGTAGGGATTCTTCCAAAGCCTTGCTATGGACTTCTGCAGGCAAGGTGCTCAGAAACTTAAACTTCATTAGCTTCATGTTAAATTAGTCCCCACCTAAGTGGGGGTATTACTGCACAATCATAAATACTAAATATTGCTAAATATCATGTTTATGTATATAGGTGTGTATAAGGGAACAAATAACTATAAAATAAGTTTGAAAAGATTAGGAGAAAGAGGAGAGCTAGATTTGGAGTTAGTCAAACATGTTTACATTTCCAGCCACACACTTCTAGTTTTTTTCTTTTTTTTGTTATTTTCTTTTTTCCCCATTTGGCACAAAAGAAAAAGAAGTGGGAAGAGGAGGAAGAGGGGTAGGGAAAGGCGGAGAGCATGGGAAGGGGAGAAAAGAGTTGCTGAAAAGGAGAGAGAGAACTATCAGACAGTAGGTGATGAATGGGGCTATTGCCAAGCAGGGAACTCAGGGAGGGGGCTCCAGAAGACAGTACCAAAAGTGCTTGAGAGCACTGAGAGATCATTTATACAAAGACTCTACCTTTGTAATGTTCCACAGCAGAGTCTTTAAAGAGGAAGCTGTTTAGTAAAGAGTGAGGTTGAATTCTAGTAGTAAAGGGTGAGGAGTGAGTTGGCACATCATGGCAAGTTTCATCACAGAGCATTGTAGTTAGAGTCTCCAGTCAACACAGACAATGTCAGCAAAGAGAAAGTCCTGATGCATTTCAACCTGTTGTTGCAGGGCAACCCCAATATAAAATGGGTTGCCTGCCTGGGGGTCCTCACCTGCGTGCTTAAAGGGGACTTAAACTGCAGGCATACACAAAACGTTAGCAAAAGGTTTATTTACAAGGGAAGGGGAAATGAGGAAATGAACAACTCAGGGAGAAAAAGAGGGAGATAAATTCTTAAATGCGTTCTACCCGTTCTGCTGACCTGGAATCCCAAATGACCCACTGAGACCATGTGCTGTGCCGGCAGGGAGCAGGAGCCAAGAGAGAGTGAGACCCCACTCAGATGGCCGGTTATAAACACAAACCTGAGAAAAATGGCTGCTTAACTCCGCCCTCAGGTCCTCGCAACCTCCCTTTGGGGATCATGGTATTTGTAGTTCCCAGTGTCTTGATGGAGTGGGGGTGGAGTGAACAAAGCCTGTATTGAGTTTGCTCAGGACATCCTTTCCCCCTAACACTGTCACTATCTGTCACACCTGCTGCCTAACTCCTCACCAGCACAGTAGTAATGACAGGTTCACATGGTCATCTCATAATAGCTGGGTTTCCTCTGACTTGTGTCCCAAGTCAGGCTCAGCTGCTGTCTATCTTGGTGCTGCTCAGGTTTTGGAAAATGAACTGACCATCAAAATCCCTTCTATCCTATCCCAGCCTTACCCTGGGCTTCAGCTCCCAGAACAGAGCTTCTTTGGAGCCAGAGAGAAAGTTACTTTGGTGAGAAAATATTAAGAGATCTTACCTCAGTTTAAGTGGAGTGATTTCTGTGATTTCTGTGTCTCTCACTGGATGGTTGGACTTTTATGTTGCCCTTCCATTGTGTGGCTCTCTGGATTTCCTTCAGAGACCAAGTAATCAGAAGTAAAGCAACTTCTAATGGACGTAGAGTAATGTGAAACTGAAAGCACAAGGCCCAAGGCAGTGAGTCCGATAACAGGAAATCCACGAAGCTGAGGGAGTGGCAGGTTACACGGGTTTCACATGATTTCACAAGAGAAATCTTCAAAGTTTTTGAATATTTCAAAAGAGATTAGAGACCACTTGTTTTTAAGAAAATGTCCATGATATATAATAGAATATATCTCAGGTTTGGAGATAAGATTGAGAAACCTGGAATGAGAAAACATATTTTTTAGCTATACTTTTCTTTAAAATGGTTATACTTACAGTAAGCCTGGTTCCATATCTATAAATGCAATAAGTGAGGAAAAGGCATGTCCGACACACTCGGCAACACCAGCACCGGGCCAAGCATCTGGCACTTAATACCCAGTGCAGTCAGGAGGGGGTGCCATGTATTACTCTGTGTTCCAGACTCAGTGCTGACTGCTTTACCTGAGTCACATGACTCATATCTCATAACAGCATTCCTCCAGGATTTTATTCATACCAAGGAATAGGAAGTTTCAATGTCTTAGCCCAAATCATAGGACCAGAAGCATCGACAGCATTAACTCTCAATTCTAATCCAATTATCTGTGTGTCTATTATTATTTCAATACCATACTGTTTTTATTTTCATTTTTATTTTATATATTTTTACATAATTTTTCATTTTTGTATAATGTATGCATTTTCATCTTGGTTATTGTTCCTGTAAAAATTCCCACCCTGCCTTGTTTTGATCCTAATCCATCCCCTCCACCCACCCCCGCCGGAGTGTATCTCTGGTTTATAGTTGCCTGTTGATTTTGATTTTACTTTATTATAATTAGTCTTTTTCCTGATCCCTTATTTAGGTTTTCTAAATTCCTGCTATAAGTGAGATCATCTGGTATTTTTCTTTTTCCTTCTGGTTTATTTCACTGAGCATGATCCCTTCTAGCACCATCCATGTTGCTGCAAAATGCATGGGTTTATCTTTTTTGATTGCTGAGTAAAATTCCATTGTGTTTATGTACCATATTTTCTTGATCCAGCCATCTATTTTTGGGCATTTGGGTTGTTTCCATAGCTTACCTAGTATAAATAGTGCTGCAGTAAACATGGGGTGCAGGTGTCCTTTTGAATCAATGTTTTTGAGTCCTTTGGGTAAATACCTAGGAGTGGGATTGCTGGATCATATGGTAGCTCCATTTTTAGTGGATTGAGGAACCGCCACACAGCTCTTCCTAGTGGTTGGACCAGTTTGCATTCCCACCAGCAGTGCAGGAGAGTTCTTTTTCCACATCCTCGCCAACATTTGTTGTTGCTAGTTTTTTTAATATATGCCATTCTCACTGGTGTAAAATGGTATCTCATTGTGGTTTTGATTTGCAATTCCCTGATTAGAAGTGATGTTGAACATTTTTTCATATGCCTGTTGGCCATTTGCATTTCCTCTTTGGAGAAGTTTCTTTTGAGCTCTTCTGCCCAATTTTTCATTGGGTTATTTATTTTGTTTTTGTTGAGTCTTGTCAGCTCTTTGTATATTTTTGTGATCAGTCCTTTATCATAAGTGTTGTGTGCAAAAATTTTCTCCAATCAGTGGGGTCTCTCTTTGTTTTGGTTACTGTCTCTTTTGCTGTACAGAAGCTCTTTAATTTGATGCAGTCCCAGCTGTTTATCTTTTCTTCACTATCACTGCTTTGTGTGATGTGTCTTTAAAGATGTTACTGAGGTGAATACCATACTGTTTTGGTTACTATTGCCCTGTAGTATAAATTGAAGTCATAGAATATAATACCTACATTTTTTTTTCTCAGAATTATCAGGGCTTTTAATGGTTCCATACAAATTTCATTAATGTTTGCTCTATATCCTCGAAATATATTGTTTTTTGATAGGATTACATTAAATCTCTGTATTGCCTTTGGTAAGATGGTCATTTTAGCAGTGATAACTCTTCTAATCAATGAGTATAGCATATCTTTCCTTTTTTGTGTGTTTTCTTCTATTTCTTTTTTTTAAGATTTTATTTATTTATTTATTTATTTGTTTGTTTGTTTGTTTGTTTATACATACATACAAGAACCAGGGTACAGGCAAGACATGCAGGAGGGTGAGAGGATTCACCAGAGACAGAGCGGGGAACAGAGCAGGCAGACCAACTGAAACACACTGCTGAGGGGAGCAGCGGGCGAGACAGGAGAGGTCTGCTGCACCATCTGAGAACAGTTTTATTGGAACACAGGCATGCCCATTCTCTTATATCTATGCCTATGACTGCTTCATTTTAATGGCAGAGTAAAAACTATTGAGAGACTGTATGACCAGTGATCCACAGATCCATGGGCAGTTACTATCTGATCTTCTTCTGAAAAGCTATCTAGTCATTGCTATGAAGACTCGAGCCTTAGTTTTTAGTGAAAAACTTTAAACTCATCAAAAATTAAAAAAAGGATTGTGAAATACATTTTATTTCCAGATTGAAAATAATAACTCTTAATGCTTTAAGACACAACAACTACTTCCCAGGACTTTTGACAGTTAGAATAAAGTCTACATAAACTAAGTAATACACAGAATATTATTTTGTTAGTCAAAAAGGTTAGAAACAATTCCAGTCTCTTTAGGAGAAAACCAGCAGGCTCTCAAGTAAGACTAAGGGAATGAGATGTGGGTAAATCAGATGAAAGGGATCAGTTGTGTGGTGAAGGATAGAATTGTACTTTTAGTGATGAACTTAATGCTGTATACACACATGCTGATTTTTAATGATGCACACGCAAAACTTATACAATGTCAAAATGCAATGTTATTTCAATTTTTAAAAAGTGGAACTGATAGCTTGAGCTTTAGGAATATAAGATAGCTACTAATTGTTAGCTCAGTATTCTACCATTTTTTGTGTCCAGTTCATCTTTGTAAATGGTTTGTGCCACTCATAAACAATATGATTATCATTATATACTATGTTTAGTCCAGTGTAAGTTAAAGTTCTAAGTGTCCCTTTTTTTTTTTTTTTTTGAAATGGAATTGTCAATTTGGTTTTTTTTTTTTTTTTTTTTAAATAGAGGCATGTTTTATTTATTTATTTATTTGTTTGTTTATACATGCACTGGGTACAGTCAGAAGCACGGGAGGGTGAGAGAATTCACCAGAGCCAGAGCAGGGAGCAGAGCAGGCAGAAGGACCGAAGTACACTGCTGAGGGGAGCAGCGGGCGGCAGGAGAGGTCTGCGCGCCATGTGGGATCCTCCTCCGGTGGCCGGGGAGCAGCCGGGGATCGAACCGGCGCCGCAGAGGCTGCGGGCAGCTTCGCAACCCAGCGCTCAACCGCTGCGCCACCGGGGAAGCCCTCTAAGTGTCCCTTTAACATTAGAAGTTGGATGAATTGAGCAAGAAGGGAATATTTTCTTTAACTTGTTTGTTTATTATTCAACTCCTACTCATGTTAAGGTTTCTTCAGTCTTCCTATGGAAATTCTGAAGTTTCTAGATCTCTGTATAAGGTAATTTGCTATATCTGGGAATCCATCAGAGAGGATTCTCCATCTCAATGCCCAGAAATCACATTATAGTTCACAGATCATACAACATTGAGACAATAAATAAAATGTTCATTGTCTGCACTAAAAATCTAAGATGCTTGTTCCCGACATTGGAACTCGTACACTTGGAGAAAAAGATGAACAACTATGTCCTAAGATTTTTCTCTAAAACTCTGCTCAGTATTCAATTTTCTACTAATAGTCATCTGGAAGAATTAGCTTCTCTTAAGTAGTACTAGCTCGTGATCCCTGCTGTGTTGGTACAGTAGTAAATGTATCCTTATTATACAATTTATGTTTGTTTTTTTTTTTAGGAAGATAGACATGGTTTTAATTATCATACTGAATGTCTTTATAAATTTAAGTGTTATAAAAATGCAAAAACCAATTATTATCAGGTATAGTGATGTTTTCCAAGTTCTAAAAAATGCTTGAGCTGTGCCTGATTAAGAGTGACTAGGATAGATTTTTTTCTTTAGGTCTTTAGCTTAACAAACATCTCTTCTTTGGTTTTTCCATCCTCTTCTGGAGAAGTTGTATCTCATTAGTGAGCCGATTGCTCTCATGTTCGAATCCTTCCTTTAGTAGCTGGGCCTGTTCCTAAAATGCAAACAGAAACTGAGTAGAATGTAGTGTTAAGTAGCTCTTTAACTGCTATCTAGTTCCTACATTCATGGACATTTTGGTATTTAATTCCTTCTTAAAATTTTCTCTACCCTTAATTTTCATTATATTTTTTCCTGGGCACAGTAGTTCCTTGATTACTTATCTTGAGTCTACTTCAGCTAAGGAAGATTTTTTACTTATATTCCCTGATATATTGATAAACATAACTTATCAATCTTGATCTCTTTTCCCATTATTTCTATACAATCTTTGTGGGCAATATTCATCATATGTTTGCTTTCAAACCAAATCTATACATTATAGACACTTTCATACACACATAACACTTAGCGACACATACAACACAAAAATACAGAATTTTCCAAATCTGATGAGGTGTCTAAATTGTTTTTTTTTCAAAGATTTATTTATTTACTTGTTCATAGAAGAGCTGGGTTTTAGGCCAGAGGTGTGGGGGGTGGGGTGGGTGAGAAGATTCACCAGAGACAGAGTGGGAACAGAACAGGCAGATTTACTGAAATGTACTGGCGGGAGCAGCAGGCAAGACAGGAGAGGTCTGATGCGCCATATGTTAACTCCCTGGCTGAGGATCCAACTCAGGCAGTAGAGGTGATAGCACTGAGACTTAACCCATATGCCACCAGGGAGGCCCTGATATGTCAGGGAGGCCCTAAATTTTATATCAGGGAGTTAGATATAAATATCCACACCTTGGTGCCAGAAGTGCAGCATAGAATCAAGGAAATCAGAGTCCCAGATGGATCAAGTTGGATTTTGTATTCAACTTTCAACTCAAAACAACAGGGAGGAGGCCATGCATAACAGGAAGGTGTGGCAGACTGACACATGTGTGAAACTTTAACAGTCCTTGTGCTCATAAAGGTTCTCTTACAGCTATAGTAATACCAGGCATGACAGAAAAAAAAATCATTGTGGATTCCACTAAGTACTGAAATCAGTTCAGATGTCCTACCAGTTGTGTGATCCTATAAAAGTTATTTGTTCTTTTTTCAACGTCTTGTCTGTTCTTAAGTGACTAGGACATTGCAGTTCATGTTTCATATCATATTAAGCAGGAGATAAAGAGTTTATATATATATATATAATGCCTAGAAGATAATAGCTACCTGTGATTGAAGGATACATTGGTAAAGAACTGAGTTGATATACTGCAAATAAGATCTTAACCATCAGACACAGGCAAGGGCATTCAGGCTGGTTTTAAGATAATGAAAAGTACAAGTAGGCGAGCAAGGCCCTGCTTCTGGGCTTCATATCCTCACCACCACACTAAGGCCTGATCAGGGAGACTAGAGAGAAGACAGACAGACACCTGAATGTGATGCAATTAAATACCTGAAGTTTAAGGGCAAGAGTCCTCTCTTGCTCTTCCAGCAGCTGGGCCCTGTCCCTCTCCATCTTCTCAGTCAATTGTCTCACATGTTCCTGATAACTCTTTTCTTTCTGTTCCATCATCTGTTCATTTTTTGTTTGCATTTCCTCTAACATTTTTGCTGAAGCCTGAGCAGATTCTGCTTTCACACGTTCCACTGTCAGGAGGAAGAGGAAGAAAAAAATGTATGTGCATAACCAGGTTGTCTCTTTGTTCCTTGTACACTGACCTTCATCGTTGCTGCTGACTGCAGATGCCCTAGTCAGAAATGACCTCAGCAGTAAGAGGCATCTTTGCTGCTTTTGTTCTTGCTGAGGATCCCAGCCAAGTTAGTTAAACTAAGAGATTTTCAGGTTCTCTAGTCTCTTGATAAGCTCCTCACCTTCAATTTCTTTTTCCTTTCCTGTGAGCATCTGGTCTGTCTGTAGAATGGCATCAGTCACAGATTCCTTGGATACCAAGTATTTCTGAAGAATCTCTTCAGCCTTAGGACCCAGAGAACAAGCAGTTAGTGACAGGAAATATCTGCAAGCACTTGCTCCTGCCTGACTGTCCACCACCTTTTCCTCTAGGACTTTGTCCTCCTAGGCCTGTGAAATGGTGGTCAAGAGTCCTGTCACAGCAGTGTGGGTGCATGTTCTGGGCTGCCAATCTGCTAACCCTGTTAAGCAGAATTATATGTAATACATGATTACATTTTATATCTTGTATCATAATATATATTATATATACTGAAAACATAGGAATCTGTTCTTACAGAGTAAGGAATCTAATTTTGGAGCTATAGTGCTATGGTTCCATATGGAATAAGCGTGGTAGAAAATGAAACCATCATGCAGAAGGCACATCAGAGTAAAGAAGGTGGAGGGAGAGTGGGAGGGAGGGAAGTGTGGGTTTGAGGGGGAATAACAGCAACCGATAAAGTCAGTTTGAACCATAAATTAGTAAATTATATTTTTGTTCAATAAACTGTCACTAGGTTTCTGCCTTTGCCACATTTGGATCTGGCTGTGATAGATTACAATAACCTGGTAGGTCAAGAATCTGATATCCAATTTATAACTCAGTTGTTAATTGATGCACCCTCTTGGAGAGCACATAGGACATATCTGATAAAACAGGTTCTCTGTGCATGTTGATTGAATGAAAGTGTGAATGCTGTCAGCCCTGAATTGCATATCTGTGTGCAGTTGCACTTGGTAACATTGGTGTTTGAAGGATGCATGTCACTTTCCCAGAATCAACAGCTCGATCTGGGTACCTGTATCCCTTTCCTAGGTTGCTGAGAGTACGATTTCTTCAACTCTTGTAATTTCTGGATGTAGAGATGATAGCCCCCTGGTTTAGAAAATATCCCCTGCTTTATGTCTTCTTCTAGAGGAGTGAAGATATCTTGAAGTAAAGCTGAGCAGCGGTCTGATGATGCTTGCAAATTCTTTTTACAGAAGTTGTCCCACTTTTGTTCTAGCTGGGCCTTTAATGTCAAAATAAGATATGGAATAAATAAGATAAGGTGTTATGTTGATCTCAGAATTTGTGGAAAGTCCTCTCAAAAATTAGACTATGACCCTAGACAAACTTAAAGTTATCACAGCATTAGCATTCCACCCTTCTGATCTATGGAATACATTTTTCCTTGGAGGTGAGGTTCAGAGCAAAGATTTAGGTTACACTTTTTGAGATAAACTTCTGCTTTTTAAATTAGACCTATGAGTGCATATGGAATAAATGTAGTTTATCATAAGGCTGCTGAAGAGCACTGAGAGAACCCTTTATTTTGCTTTTGGCTAGAATATTAAATCAGTATCATAACATGAAGATACAGTTTGATTGGAAGCCCTAATTGTTACAGATGTGCATTTCATTAAATTATGGGGAAGATGATTAATTTATTCATCAAAAAAACTGAGCTCTTCGGGTCCATTATAATAGCCTTATTTCTTCTTCCTATAATGATAATGACTATTGGTTGTTATCACTTTAAAGTCCAGTAAGAACTGGTTCTTAAATAACCATTTTCTAGTAGTACTTTGCTTTCTGAGACCCTAATCCATGTAAAGTTGAGTAAAAAAAATACCGCTAATTCCTTTTGAAATAAATGGTCTACATCTTTGAAGGAACTCTTCATGAAGACTTCAATGGCCTCTCTCTCACAGTCCCTGTGCAGGTCCAGCAGCTCCTGGAGAGTTTCTGTGGGCAGCTGAACTTTCTGGCCCATCAGTTGTTCATAGCGGGCAATGGCCTTTTGCACTGCAGCTGAGTTCTCTATCTGGGCCAAGGCTAGGACTGCGTTCTCCATGCAGGGCAGATCCCCACTGCTGATGGCATCGACATAGGTCACCACCAGTTTGGCTAGACCTACAGAGAACAAATGATAATCTTGTTGTAGATGGGGTGAAGAAATGTTCTGGTATGAAAGTTTGTAATTATGAGTATTACCACCTTTTGCCTCACAGCAACACTGTCCTCAGCATCACCTGGGAGATTGTTGCTAATAATGCAGATTCTGCCTCTAGATTAGACCAACTGGATTAGACCATCCTCTCTGGCAATACCCAGGTGATATGTATGCATATCAGAGGTGTTGGTGTGGTTCTTTCAGTGCTTCTGTCTTTTCTCACCCAAGAAATTCTGCAAGGCAGATGCTATCCCTTCCAGGTTTAGTGTCATCAGTGCAAATAAAGACTGGAAGAGGACTCACGGGTTCCATTGACCTGGATGCCTCCCGAAATTGTTTTAGTGTTGGCATTACTGAAGATGTAGTCACAGAAGACTGCAGCTTGTTGCACAAATTCAGAGTCCAGTTCATCATCATGCAGAGTCTCAAGCTGGCCTAGTTTCTTCCGGTGAGTGGGCCGATCAAAGATAAAGCATTTCTTCTTTGGGAAGAACTTCCGGATACAGAGTCGGGGCAGATTAAAATTTCTATCTTTTTTACTGGAACCTGGAGGAAGACAAAAAAGGTATTTGGCTGATATAGGAACTACAAACTTTTACTGTAAAGGGTCACACAAAATATTTTAGTTTTTGCATATCCTCAATTACAACAGAAAGTAGCCATCGACAATACAAGTATCCCCCACTTCTCACAAGTTTTCTTAAGTCACTTCACTTTTACCAAAGGCCTACATATAGTTCCTGTTTTCACAAACAAAAAGTGATCTGAAGAGGATGTTTGCGATTATCACAAGAGGCAAAAAGTGAAACTAGCACTCAATGTTGGTCTTTTAGAGAGCTGTCACAGAGGCAAAGCACCCCCACCAAGCATCCTGAGGGTACTGTCCATTTCCTGTCCCTGAAGCTAGTTCAGCATCTCAGCCTCAACCTGTCAGAGCATTAAACTGTGTCTCTAAAGGTGTGTGCTTCATCTCCATCATTTGTATGTCCCTTCGCAAGACATGTCCTAAGATATCAGGAAAGCCTAAGATGGAAAAATGCATAAGGCTAAGCAGTCACACACTCTGTGCGATTTCACCTTTTCTGCATTAGCCACATCAGCCACGACAGAAGATGAGCCTTGACTTGGAACATCAAGGCTGACAGACACAGGAGGTGGTGTAGACTTTGATTACTTACTAGCTCTAATGAATTCTAACGACAATGACTATCTGCAGGTGACCCTTTTCCTCTCAGTCCTGCAGGCCAAGCTCCTGTACCTCCCACACCCAACCTGATGATTTAGACTAAGAAACCATCAACATCATCTTTTTTCCTTTCAAGGTGCTCGCTATCTTCTCAGTTGTGATAAATGAAACTTAATTTATCTCTACTATTTAAGGGTGGTATACTCATCACATTCCTGCTTTCATGATAGATTGGTGTTATTTTAGATTTCATGTGTTATTCAATATGATTTTGTGGGTTAGATTTTGGATTTGGGGACATTCCAAAATTTTCCACTAAATGTATGGCAATTGCTTCTATACTATATAACATTCTGAATTCAAGAAAGTTACACAGGAATGCTAAACTTAAATAGCAGTAGAATCTTGTCATATGTGGATGGGCAAAACATTATTCTAATAAAGACTTATTTTGAAGGACTTCTGGTAGGCTGGCTTAGTCATCCTTTGCCAGTGACCACAGAATGCAAGTCTCTGAAATAGTGCAGTGTTCGTGCTTGAATCTACTTTTATTCATACATGTCCATTCTGTCATACTCTTTGGCTAATTACATCATGAAACCAGAGCAGGGAAGTAAAGTTAATTTGATCACAGCAAGGAAAAGGTGAAAAGAAACTTGTTCTTTGAACAGAGTAGGTATAATTTAAAATATATTTTGTTAATTCAGATCTTAAATAATCTACCTAGTTGAGAAGAATTGACGACAACTAAAGTATTATTAGTAAACTAAGAAATGATAGTTTCTCGAGTTTTATCCTCCATATAATCTGCCAATTGTAAGTTCCCTTTACCTTGCTTAAGCTTAAGCGAAATCTTCAGGTACTCATCTGGTGTGATGGGTTGTCCATCTGCTTCCAAGTCCAGGGAGAAATCCCTCAGGGTCCACACAAAGTCTGGAAAGAAGCTCACAAAGTCAGCTGAATCCTCAACCTCATTGGTATCAGGTGAGGATTTTGCCCTGATTCGATCTGTCAGTTCTGTCACATAGCTGAGCAGCAAACTAAGGGAAATTGGCGAACAAGAACAGTCCCCACATCCCATATTAGCACCACAGATTGTAGAACTTTCCTTTCCCTTTCTTCTTAACCCAAGTGTAAATTCTCAGTAGGTACATAGACTTTCCCCCCCTGTCCTCAAAGTATTATTTTGATTTCTCTTTTGTGCTTGATTCACCAGTGTTCACATTTAGGAAGCTGTTTTTTAGTACAGGTCGCCCCCCTGACATTGATGTATTAGGAATGGCAAAAAGATACTGCAGTTGGTCCATGGCCTGCTGATTGATGGTGCCCATGCTATTGTACACAAGGGTGCTGCTCAGGAGGATTGCCAGGGCAAAGATCCAGGAGTCATTCTGGTTGTCACCCTGGAAATGAGAGCACATTGGGGCAGGATTTGGTTTCATTCTCAGGGTACTTTGCAGATCAGCAGTGGCAAAAATATGCTCATTCCATTAGAGGTGTTTTATAGTATTTTTTTAAGATTAAAGACCACTTTCAAACAAAAATACTTGTTAGCAGAACATGTGTTTTGAGTAGTTTTCTGCTAAGTATTTTTGGTTTACACTGATTCTCATTAGGTCCTATTATGGATATTGGAAGATAATTGCAAAAGAAGTTGTCAAGGTTAATGATCATTCTAAGGCCTTCAATAGCAAGAATTTTCTCTTTCTTTTGTAGTAAAATTGACATATACAAGAGTAATAATACTTATAGCTATTTATTTAGCAATTATTTTGTACCTGAATTTTGTATTTTGTTTCTCTTACTACTATGAGGAATATTTAGACAGGTTAATTCTGCTTTACAAATCAGGCAAATAAAGATCTGTTACATCTGTTGAAACAAATATGAGAAAAATACAGATCTAGTAGGTCTGTTTTCCAAATGGAAACTGATGTTAAAAGAAGTCCAATAATTTTCTCAAGCTATCAAGTTAGTGATATTGTTTAAATTGAAGTAGTAGGATTTGGGGCCAAATTCCTTAACTAAAGTTCTCTGCTGTTTAAGCCTCATGAAACTGATTTTACTTCTACTGTGTGCAAGCAACTGTGTTATCTGGTATTGTTTTAATTAGAATACAGTACTGACTACCATGCTTTTCTAATATTCTCCCTTATATTTTCCTGTCCTGTGGTTGCTAAACTTGTTCTCATGACATGTGAAGAGAAAGGCAAACAATATTATGGTTGAGTGTACATTCTTATTTATGGAAAAATGAAATATGGCAAAGGTGAGAGGCTTGTTTCCAAGTTGAGTCCTCAACCCTTACCTTCTCCACATCGCCTAAGCCTTCAGTGTCCAGAAGAACCAGGGTGTGGTCTGGCTTCTTGGGATGAGGCACACACCACATCCAGATTCCTTTGGTGTGAGATTGCACTGTGGAGCCCAGGGAGAAGCCTTCAGGGGAAGATTGAGATAAAAGGAAAAAAAAAAGGGTGGCGTTTTAATGGGAGTGGGATCTGGAAATTAAGGGTTAGGAGAGAAAACTGATATCAACCAGTAGTATCACAGAAATGGGGAAAATAGAATATTCAGTACATGAAACAATTTCACATGTTTTTATGACAGAAACCATCAACCAAAAACATATAGAAGGAAATTACTTCAACATGGTAAAAGCTAAAAATAGAAAAACCTACAGCCAAAATCATACTCAATAGTGAAAGACAGAAAAATTTCCTGCAATAAAAGTGTACACAAATGTATCAAAGACATACATGTGGGAGTAAAAGTTGAAAAGCTAGTGGTGGAAAACATAGGAGCTCTGCTCCAAGATATTGGAGATGGCAATGATTTCATGTTATATGACCCCAAAAGAATAAGCAACAAAAGAAAAGTTAGTTCAACCACATCAAAAACAAGTTCAACCACATCAAAATTAAAACTTTGATGCATTAAAGGATATTACTGGAGCCTCCCTGGTAGCCTAGGGGTTAAGTCTCAGCCCTATCACCACTAAGGCCTGAGTTTGATCCCTGGCCAGGGAGGTAACCCACATATGGCACAGTAGAACTCTCTTGTCTCACCTGCTGTCCCGTTAGCAATATATTTCAGTAATTCTACCTTTCTGCTCCCCACTCTGTCTCTGGTGAATCCGCTCACCCCTGTACCTCCAGCCTACACTCCAGTTCTTCTAAGCAATAAATAAATAAATAATGGATATTACCAACAGAGTGAAAAAGGTAACTTGAAAAGGGGAGAAAATATTTGCTAGTCATGAATATGATAAGGGGTTGATATCCAACAGATATAAAAAGCAAACCAGTAAATAATTGAAAAAAGAACTTGAGCAGATAATTCTCTAGAGAAAAATATGCAAATAATCAATAACAAGTGCTCAATGTCACCAATTATTAGGAAATACAAATCAAAACCACAGTGACATACTTCTTACTATTTATCAGTATGACCAATATAAGAAACAAACAAGCAGAGATTAACAATTATTGGCGAAGATGTACAGAAATTAGAACCCTTATGCATTTCCAGTGGGGATATAAAATGGAACAATTATTATAGAAAGTGATATGTTGATTTTTAAAATAAATTAAATATCAAGTTGCCATTTGATCCAGCCATTCCATTTTTAGGTATTTACCCAAAAGAAGTGCAAGTAGGAACTCAGATATTTGTACACCTGATTTCTTAGTAATATAATTTTAATAGCCAAAAGATGGAAACAACCCAGTTGTCCACTCACAGATAAAATGTTGCTATGCATATGTAACAATTTAGACTTAAAAAAGGAATATAATTTGACACATTTTACCACAGTGATGTAACTTAGATGTTATGCTGTGAAATAAGCCAATTACAGTATGACCAGGACAAAAATATGATTCCTATTATAAGAGACCCAGAGCAGTCATTTTCATAGAAACATGGTGTTGAAAGGTGGTTGCTAAGCTTGGGGGAGTTATTGTTTAATGGGCGAAGAGTTTCTATTGGAGAAGAGGAAAACTTACGAAGGTGAATGTGAGTTTACCTAATGCCACAGAAATGTACACTAAAAAAGAGTTGCAATGGTATTTTTTTTTGTTAAGTACATTTTGAAACAGTAAAAAAAAGAATATCCTTTTCAGATTTAAGTAAGATTTTAAAGATCAGTGGAAAATTGTTCTTACTACATGAACATTTCAGCAACTGTCTAACTCTTCATCACTAAGTACATTATTTTTATTACTGCCTTAGTCTAGCTCAGAAAGGAACAATTTGGTTTTTTTCCATGTATTTTATTTTATATAATTCTTACATCATTTTTCATTTTTGCACAATGTATGCATTTTCATTTAAAACGGGAAACTAAGGCCAAGTGGGAAGAAAGATGAGCTGACTTGATATCACATTGAAGATAAAGATAAAAACATAACTATGGATCAAAATTTATCTGCCATCTTCCTCCCCCATCTCTCACGTTTGTCCTCACAGCACCATACTGAATGCTGGTAGTGTAGGTGGACAGAGGGGACTTGACAGAGTGCTGCTGGTGTCACTCACCTCTCTTCTTGCCAGCCAGCTTGTTCATCAGGTAGGATTTGCCTGTGCGGTAGAGACCCACAATAGCCACCACGACCACAGGCTGTGTGATGGCAGACAGGATCTCCAGAGCCTTTGGATTGACCACCAGTTTGTTTTGAGTGTTCTCTATGAGGCACGCTGGGTCTGGCATGTGCATCTCTGAGGTCATGTTCAGGATGTTCCCTTATCTGCGTGGGAAGAGATGGGATGAATGAAATTTTCAGTCTAATTAGATCAAGAATTTGTACCAGGTCATTTGCGTTCAGAAGATAGTGTTTTCCATTCTTCAGTGTGGTCAAAAGTCTTTTGTTGGGCCTCCCCGGTGGCATAGCGGTTGAGCGCTGGGTTGCAAAGCTGCCTTCAGCCTCTGCAGTGCCAGTTCAATCCCCGGCCACCCGCGAGTGTCCCACATGGTGCAATAGACCTCTCCTGCCGCCCACTGCTCCCCTCAGCACTGTATTTCGTCGGTCTGCCTGTTCTGCTCCCTGCTCTGGCTCTGGTGAATTTTCTCACCCTCCCACGCTTCTGACTGTACCCAGTGCTTGTATAAATAAATAAATCTTTAAAAAAAAAATTAAAAAAATAAAAATAAAATACTTAAGATTTTTTAAAAAAGTCTTTTATTAATTGTGAGATAGATGAGGGGAGCTCTGTATCAGTTTAGGAAGTTGTGGAAGTTTATAGCAGTTGTCCTTTGGAAAAAATACTGGTATGAAGGGACTTACCAACTTACACCCAATTTCATGCACCATCTTTAATTTACCATGGAAAACTTCCCGATTAGATTCTTTTAAACAGTCAATTAGACGTTAATAGAATATTGAGTAGGCTTTATATTTATTTCACATCCTGGTTATATGTCAGAAATTCAGTTTTGTTTTTTTATTCATTAATTCTCACTATAAAGACACAGGAATAAATATTTCATCATTTGATATACACCTATGGAAAACTTCCAGAGATTTTAAATATGCTTCACTCCCCTACCCCATATCAGTCAAGCTAACTAATTAGCTGGAATAGGGTTCTTTGAACATGTCATGCTGCCATTCCAGAAATGGAACTGATATAACATTCTGCAAATATCACAAAAGCCTGCACATGAATGTCTGTAGCAAATTTATATGTAATTGCCAAAACTTGGAAGCAACCAAGACTACCTTCAACAGGTAAATGAATAAATCAACTTTACTACATTCCCCAGTGGAAGACTATTCAGTGCACAAAAGAAGAACTATCAAATGGTCTTAAGATATAAAGGAGGCTTAGCATATATAAATAGGTGACAAAAACCAATCTAGAATCATACATACTCTATGATCCCAACTGCATGGCATCCTGAAAAAGGCATAATTGGACTCAATAAAAGGATTAGTGGTTGCAAGGGTGGTGGTAGAGAATTTTTAGAGCAGTAAAAAATTCTGTATTTTATTGTAATGATAGAATACATAGTATTCCCCTTTTATCCAAACACACTAAATGTGCAACAATAAGAGCAAACCCTTTGGTAAACCCTGGACTTTGGGTGATTACAATGCTCAGCCTAGTTTTTTTTTAAAAGGTATTGTTTTGGTTAGTAATGTTGAAAATAGAGAAGACCATATCTGTGTGAGATCAAGGATTATATGAAAATCTCCCTATCTTTTTCTCTATTTTATTGTAAACCTGAAACTTCTTCTAAATTTTTTCTTTCTTTAAAAAAAGACAATGAGGGAAAATTGAACATTGTCTTGATGTTTTATAGTATTTTAAATTATTATTAATTTTTATAGATGATAATATTGTGTTTATATTTTAAGACAAGTTCTAATCTTTTAAAGATACCTCAAATACTTATGGCTAAAAGAATATGGTATCTGGAATTTATCAAAACACTTGGAGAGAGAGAAAAAATATTTGGAGGAAATAAAATTAGTAATGAGGTGCTGTATGTTGAACCTGACACTATTTTGTATAAATTTGAAATTCTTCCAAACACCATTTTTAAAGTTTTTTTTAAACATATATATGACTGTATGAAACACAAGTCCAGAGATGCTTCCAGTGCCTTGTTACGGGCTGTGTAAGCAAGGAGTTCTGAACTTAAACTCCATCCATCTCATATAAATTAACCTCCAGCTAAGTGGGCTTATAACTGCATAGTCATAGATTATAACTGTAAATAGTGAATGGTCCTAAAATCATGCTTGTGTAGATATGTGTGAGAAAGTGAATAAAAGACTATGAAATAGGGTTGAAAAATTCAGGAGAGAGATGAGGAGAACTAGAGATGAACTGAGTAAATACTTACATTTCCAGACACTCTGTTATTTTCTTTCTTCCCCCCTCCCCCATTTTGTAGAAGCAGAAAAGCTGGAGGAGGAAGTGTGGGGAAGGGGAAGAATGTAGGGAGAGAAGGGCAAGAGGAAGTGAAAGGAGAGAGAGAGAGAACTATCCGACAGTAGGTGATGAATGGAGCTAGTGCCAAGCAGAGAACTCAGGGAGGAGGTTCCAGAAGACAGAATCAAAATACTTGAGAGCATTGAGAGCTCACCCAAAGACACTGCCTTTGCTTTGTGCCACAGCAGTCTTTAAAGAGGAAGCTGTTTACTAAAGTAGTGAAGCCAGTTGTAGTTGTAAGGGGTGAAGAATGAGTTGGCACATCATGACAAGTTCCATCACAATCATTGTAGTTAGTGTCCCCAGTCAACACAGACAATGTCAGCGAAGAGAAAGACACTTCTGGTGCATTTCAACCTCTCAGTATCTGTCAAACCTGCTGCTGCCCAAATTGTCGCCAGCATAGTAGTAACGGCCGGGACACACTGTCACCTCATATCTCCAGGGTTTCCTCTGGCTTCTGTCCCATGTCAGGCTCAGCTGCTGCCTATCTTGGTGCTGCTCAGGTTTTGGAAAACTGGCTATCAAAATTCTTTCCATTTTTGTCCCAGCCTCACTCTGGGCTCCAGCTCCCAGAACAGAGCTTCTTTGGAGCTGGAGAGAAAGAAACTTGCTGAGAGAATAGTAGATCTTACCTGTTTTATTCTGCTCAGTTGAGGTAGAGTGATTTCTGTGACTTCTGTGTCCCTCACTGAATGGTGGCACTATTTTATCACCCTTCCACTGTTGTGTGACTCTCTGGATTTCCTTCAGAGACCAAGCAATCAGAAGTAAACAACTTTTAACGGATGTAGAGTAATATGAAACTGAAAGTTCAGGGGACAAAGCAGTGAGTCAACAACCAAAAAGGAAATTCTGGACTTTGCTCCTAGGAGGGAGTTACATTGTTCTCACATGATTTCTCAAATGAAATCTTTATTTTTTTTTGAAGATCTCCAAAGAGATTAGAGGTCATTTGTTGTTTTTAAGAAAATGTCCATGATATGAGTGTATCTCCTGTTTGAGGGTCAGCTTAAGAAATCTGTGTTAGTGGGCAGACTGATGGGCACCTGGGAGATCCCAAACTTCATGCTTAAGGGGATTTTGCCATCTGCCCCATAAAGGCAAATCAACTCTTGTTTTTCTTTTTTCTTTTTTCATTAATTGATTTTTTATTTTTTATATCATTGCTCATTTTTAAACAATATTTGCTTTCCCCCACCCCTCAGGTATAGTCCCCATAGAATTTCCTTCACCAATGCACCCATGCACCATCACCTCAGTCCCCTGTGCTTCTCCCTCCTTCCCTCTGATCCCTCCTCCTCCTCCCCTGCAGGATGTCTCTGATTTATAATTGTCTGTTTTTGCTTTGTTGTGTTTTGTACTGCTATTATTTTTTTTTACACTGGTGTCTTATTTGGTTCCCCTATATTCCTGCTTTAAGTGAAACCATCTGATATTTTTCTTTTTCCTTCTGGCTTATTTCACTAAGTATAATTCCTTCTAGTTCCATCCACATTGCTGCGAATGGCATGAGTTTATCTTTTTGATTGCTGAATAATATTCCTTTGTGTATATATACCACATCTTTTTGATCTAGTCATCTATTTTTCGGCATTTGGGTTGTTTCCAGGTTTTACCTATTTAAATAGTGCTGCAATGAATATAGGAGTACAGGTGTTCTTTTGAATCAACGTTTTTGTGTCCTTTGGGTAGATGCCTAGTGTGCAATTGTTGGGTCATATGGTAGCTACAATTTTAGTAGATTGAGGAACCTCCAGACAGCTTTCCATAGTGGTTAGACCAGTTTGCCCTCCCACCAGTGATGTAGGAGAGTTCCTTTTTCACCACATCCTCACCAACATTTGTTGTTTCTAGTTTTTTTGATATGTGCCATTCTCACTGGGATAAGGTGGTATCTCAATGTTGTTTTGATTTGAATTTCCTCTCTGGAGAAATGTCTTTTAAGTTCTTATTTCCATTTCTTGACTGGGTTGTTTATTTTGTTTTTGTTGTATTGCGTGAGTTCTTTGTATATCTTTGTGATCAGTCCTTTAGCAGTTGTATGGAGTGCAAAAATTTTTTCCAAGTCAGTGGGGTGTCTCTCTATTTTGGTTAGTGTCTCTTTTGCTGTGCAGAAGCTTTTCATTTTGATGTAATCCTAGCTGTTTATGTTTTCCTTGACTTTCTTTGCTTTGAGTGACGAGTCTTTAAGGATGTTATTGCGATATATGTCTTGTAGTGTTTTACTTATATTTTCTTGTATATATTTTATGGTTTCAGGTCTTATGTCCAGTTCTTTCATCCATTTTGAGTTGATTTTTGTGCATGGTAAGAGATAGTGGTCTAGTTTCATTTTTTTTGCCTGTGGTGGTCCAGTTTTCCCAGCACCATTTATTGAACAGACTGTCCATGTTCCATTGCATATCTTTGCTCCTTTGTCAAAAATTAGTTGTCCATATAAGTTTGGCTTTATTTCTGGGCTCTCTATTCAGTCCCATTGGTCTGAGTGTCTGTTTTTGTTCCAATATCAAACTGTTTTAATTATTATGGCTTTGTAGTATAGCTTGAAGTTTGGAAGTGTAATACCTCCTTTCTTTTTTGTTTTCATTGGTAGGGCTTTGGCTATTTGCAGTTTTTTGTGGTTCCATATGACTTTTAGTAGTATTTGTTCTATTTATTTGAAGAATGTTATTGATATTTTTATTGGAATAGCATTGAATCTGTAAATTGCTTTTGGTAGGATGACCATTCTAATAATTTTAATTATTCCAATCCATGAGCAGGAGACGTCTTTCCATATCTTTGTGTCTTCTTTTTTTTTTTAAGATTATTTATTTATGAAAGATAAAATTAAAAAAAAAAACGAAGAAAATGTGGTGCTGGCCTTTGGGAACCGCTTCAGCCTACATCTTAGTACTTAATTCTGAAAATAGGTTAGGGATTAGAATTTCAAGGCTTTTTGAGAGGCTAAAATTAGGATTTTCATCTGTACATTTTGTTTCCTACTGTAGTAACTAGAGTGTTCTGTGGAACTGACTTAAGCAGAACTCCTAGCATAGCACCTATTCCTCCTGCTGTGGGAACTCCCCATCCATGTTTATTGTATCTGGCCACATGTTAGTAATTGCATCTACTTGTGTTTAAATAAATTATAATTCTTACTAGATAGAAGAGGCAAAAAGAACATACAAAGTAAAACAAGTTATGTTCCCATGTTGCTACTGTGTATCCACAGTAACAATTTAGTTTGTGTTTCCCAGAGACAGATGATCTGTTCGTTCTTTTGTAAATTCAGTGGTTACCTGTATATACTTTCTGCATCTCTTATTGATTCATGAAAAATCATAGAGTTTTTTCATGTCCGTATAAAGATATTTTCTACTTTCAAGTTATTGACTGTAGAGGCTTCTTTTTAAAGTATGTATTGAGAGTTACCTTGCCAATATCTGACAAAGGGACTTTAAAGTTGTTTCATCTTTAAAGTTACAAAAATCTTGCAACAAATACATTACTATTTATCTCATTTCAGATTGGCTAAATAAAATCTGTACAGTCAATGTAGACTTGCTGAATCAACAGCGTTTTCATTTCAATTTTTGAGATACATATTTGTACCCTTTGCACTCTTGCTACAAATATGAGATTCTGCCAGTTTCCCAGTGTGCCCATCTGGTCTACTATCAAAACTTTTCCAGGTGATATTCAACAGATGACACAGTCAATTCCTAATTTTACTTTGAATATTTTTAATAATCAGTAAAGTTAAATTTTTTTCTATTCCTCACTGATTATATAATCTCATTATATAGAGAAATTATCTCCATCCATACTGTAGGTTACAAATGATTTCTTCATCTCACTATTTGTCTTTTTCCTTTGTGAGAAACTTTTCTCCAATTGAGTCATTATATTCTATTTTTTCCCATTAGTTTATATTAATTCAATCAAAATGAATGTTTTTAAGATGTCAACCCTTGATATACTATGGTAATAAGTTTTTACTTTTCAAATTTATTGAATGCAACAGCCATCAAAGAGAGTATTCATAACTGTGCCAAGAACAGTCAGGCCTGTATCAATGACACTATAAGGCCCAGGCAGTGCTCTAGTTAATACACTACAAGCCTCAAGGAGGCTGTGAACAATTGCTGTGGATCTTTTGCTTCTAGTTTGTTGAATAGCTTCTCTCAGATTATTTGCCTCTTTTTTCATCTCCTCATATTTCTTTTGGAATCCTTCAGTAAGTAGTTCTTCTTGCATCTGTAAATAAGAAGAGAGTATCCTGTTGAAAATACCCAATTGTCAGTATTTTCTGTTTAACAATTTCAGCAACTAAGTATGTCCTGCTACTTCCCACAACCACAGGTGCTTTTTGATGAGTTTGTAAAATATATCACTATGTTTGGACCTTCAAAGTGGAAGTATCCATGGTTTGTATCTCCCTATGACCCCTGAACACAATCACTGCAGTGGGAATGTGTTGGGGCTGAGCCAGGCCTGACGGCTATGCCTGCAATGTGTTCAAATCCTTTGAATGCACTTTGGAGGGGGATGTAGATGTATTTCTGACTATCTCTTGGTTCCACTGAGGTGGTATGAGAATAGACATAACAAATAATGGGAAGTGCTGGCTCTCTATAGAACACAGTTAACACATTCCAGGTTGGGGACAAAGAATGCTTCTAAGAATGCCCTCCCGGCTTATTCATGCACATTCTATACACTCTTATATCTAGCAATGACTTAGGCAATTTGGAATAAAATAGACCCAATTTTAGTGTTTTCAGCATCCTGATTTTATATCAACCACAATCTTTTACTTTCAAGACCAAATGGATCTATTTCATGTTTCTTTGTAGTTTTTTTAGAAATGTTCTTTATATCATTTTTCATTTTTGCACAATGTATGCATTTTCATCTTTGTTATAGTCCCCATACAATTCCCACCCCCCTTATTCTTAGTGGTTTTATGTAGGGCTCTACGACTGCTGTCTTATTGACTTTTGGGTCAGATCTGATCTTATAATAATATAAATAGTCATGTGTGTTTTTTGTATTCTGCAAAATGAAATGCCACAGGAGATGTTGAATCTGATACATTTAAGGCTTCACACGATCCAGGTTTATTTGATATTTCAGGTAATAATATGCCTTTGGATTTACTTTTAGGCCACGATTTTAGTTCAATTTTTTATTCTCTTCCTACTGAGGAATTGTAGCTTTGCCCTCAGTCACTGCTCAGGCCATGAAGACATACCTTCAGCTTGTGATCCAGCATCTTTTCCTGCTCTCTAAGTAGTTCATCTTTTTCTCTCTCCATCTTCTCTTTCAGTTGGAGTATGTTTTCATTGAAACTTTTCTCTTGAGCCTCTGTTATTTCCTGTTGTTCCTTCTCTTTCTGTTTCAGGAGCTCCTGTTCCTGCTCAGCTGCCTCCTTCTTGGACTGCTCAGCTGTTCCACACGGTTTTTGCAGGGGAACAAAAATAACAGTAATGCAAAGCTGTACCCTTCTGAGCTAATAGACTTTAAAAGTCTAGTAATATACTAATATATATTCTATATATATTAATAGTCTTTAAAATGTCAGGGAGATCTCTAAAACCACTAGTAGTCACATCAGGAAAATGTGTCAGAATGTGATGGGAAGGCACTCTGGTGGCAGGAGCAACAAAACAACCCTGGGTTTATTTCACAAATATCATTTTTCCCTCAGAAATAGAGGATGCTGATTGTTTCAGGATGGTTTTGCTTTCACCTGTGACAGTGCACCATAGGACCTTCCCTCTCTGCCCCATACCTGCTATGGCCT